TACAGTTCAGTAGCATGATTCCCACCAGAGTCCCTACCAGTCTTTTCGGCATCAACTCAACATGCCCAGCCCACTTTTCGAGCATTGATTCCAACTGTTAAGGCACGGGACCGTCAGTCGCCCTTGTTGACTCAAGCCTGCCTAAAGACACCATTGTTGCCGCTGCTCATCAGCAGAAGCTGAGGCAACCTCCTTGCCTGCAGGTCAATGCTGGCCTCCTCGAAAGCCAGAGATTTTGATCAACGTCCTCGCTTAGCTGGAGGTGCCCAGGCACACATGAAGTCAGATACACATCACTGATGAAGCCTTCGTCTGGGAGCAAGCCGCTTAAGTTCTTGCTTCGCATCCTCGTTCAACGTTTGCTATGCTATCAAGATAAGGGCTGAAATTGCTCGATCATCAGAGTTCCTTCGGCTGTATCCAGCTGCGGGTAGAAATTTCAGTGGCCAGCCACGAGATATGGCTTCATACTGTAAGAGAGCGCATCTGAAGCATCTGTCGGCTTTGGATTGAAGCATCCCTTGGGTGGCTTTCATCAACCTGGATTGAAGCCCACCGGCTCATGATCTCTTCATCATGTATCCTAGTCTTGTGTGCATCTCATTTATGACAGGGGAAGAATCAGTTTTGATTTAATTTTGTTCAGGATGAAAGCCTCTTATAGTCTGCTTGGAGACACATAACGGCCTCGTTGGGGTTGATAGAGATACGGTATCAACGAATCCGCATTATTTAAATGCTGGTGTTGGTTGAGTGCAAGCCTGTACTCGCTGATGGATGTGCTAAAAATGCATTGGCTTGTTCCAGCAGCATTAAACATGTCCTGCGGCTTCGAACAGCTTCAAAACATTCAACGGCGTAACTTTGTGCTTCGACCAGCCGGTGAACAATTACATATTTCCAATCAGTCTGTACTCGTAACTGCTTGATTTCAGTTGTCGGCAAAAAAATCCCACAGTAAGCTTCAGCCTCAGTTATATGGGGTGTCTGATCACTGTTTAATCAACGACCATCTCGCCTCAACTAGTCCTCTTCATCATTCATGTGTTTTACAAACTATAAATTAGAGGCCAAGTGTTGGAAAAACATTCGGACACAGATGGTAGAATATTTTTTTCGACAGAATTTGTTGAGTCGTCTGTATGCCACTGTTAAGGGCGAACAACAACTTTGCAGTCATCTAGCTCTACGTCTTTGGTTAGTGGACACTTTCTGCTGTTTGTCTTGTCCATGTTGTTTCAAGAGGCCATCTCTTTGATACACTTTAGATCTCGATAATACACTGATCGACTCTCGATCAGTCATCATCGTCCTGGGAGTTTTCTACCTTTCCTTCTCCCGCCTCGCTTTTTGACACGAGAATTCGGATTTATGTTGGTTTGAGCGGAATATCACAAATGATAAAAGCTTATGGATCGGTTTTCGCAAAAACAAATATGTGGGAGACGGATATGTTTTCCTAAGCGACACACCACTGCTCTACGGCGACAAAAGCGAGCAAAAAATACCCGACCGAACACGTACCCATTGAACAGCCTAACTTGAGTTCCCCGACTCAAACCTGTGAAGTTAGTCCTCAGGGCTGGACATACCAATTACTTACCAGCCAAAGCATTAATCATGGTCTTTTTTGTCGACATGGGGGTTACTCAATGGACCCAGGCTCCAGCCATTGCGGATGGCGGCCTGTTCTCTGCTGGTTTCGATACCTACCTATTTCGGAGTCCGCTCCTGGCTACTCTGACATTGTACGGAATGTGTTCGAACCTCCCCTTTGCCAGCCTCACAGAATACCAATGATCCCTGGCTAGAGCAGCCTGGAGGGCAGCACATTTTCCAGAATACGCAGGCTGTAGAGGCGGGCCAAGTCATTTCACAGGCATTCAATCCAATCTCCACCCAAGTTCCCTCCAACTTTGATCAGGAGGTTTACAACACAGTACCCAAGGGCGGCATTTCAATTGCACAATTTCGGGATGCAAGCGCCAATTCAAACGCCAAAAAGGCTTGAGCCGTCACTTGACAAATCATTCAGGAGCGAAACCCCCATGTTTGCTGGGTCCCTGGGTGCCAACGCAGATTTTCGCGACGCGACAGCCTCAATGCCCACTATCAAACACACGGCAAACGTGGGGGCCGCAATCGGTATGTGGCTACTCTAGATAAGACAGGAACCATGTATGACCCGGATTTCCGTGGCCAGCTAAGCCCTGAAGGGGGGCCACTTGGACTATGCTGGCCATGAGTGATTCTGGCGCCTTGAGATGTACGTGGCACTCAAGTTTCAACTGTTCAACTTTACTCTATTAAATGAGAATAACTAGCGTAGAGTAGAAAACAATGCAAATGTACGTCATCTTTATTATCTTGTTCTATGAATCTATTTCCCTTTTCAAACGCATATTGCCCTTCTGTGGATTTTTAGGAACCGGATTCGATCAAGCGCTAGCTGAGGACCTCGAAAGAACTAGCAACAGCAGACGATAGCCTATAGATCGGTTCGACGTCAGCGTCAAAATGGTATATGGTATGGTCAAAAAGAATGAGGAATGTATAATTTGAGTTAATTTGGATCCGAGGGTCAACGACTTGGCCGGCGTGCATCCTCTATTTTTTTGATGTCACTGTCACATAGTCAAGCAATTCCTTCGGTTTTTGTTTCTATCCTATCCTCCAATGCCATCATTGGTCTTTCACATCGGAGTGTGAGTTGAGGTGGAATGTATCGTGAGAGGAAGGTTACTATCATAAATTGGCGCTATTCTTTGCCAACCCAGCTCAGGATACCTTTGCTAGAGCCAACCATGTATATATATATCTCACGTTTCCAGTACGAACAAGCGACACGTGCTGAATGAATCAAATCCGAGAAATTCACGTAATAGTGGTCATGAGTAAAGCAGGTTTCGCACGGCCATTGTTTGGTTAGCGTTGTCCGCTGATCGATCTAGATCTACCTCCGAGCCCCGGCCCAGCAAGATCAGTGTATTATCCGGCATCAGGCGGTGTATCCGATTCGACATTATTCACCGCCTGATGCCATGCACACCCTCCATGATTTTCTGCCGAACCCACTTTTGTGATTGGCACTCTGGCCTCCAACCGCCGACCCATCGCCTTGCCAGGATTGTCTGATATCGACCAATGTTTCTCCTGAGAGCCGCGCGGACTGTTCAGAGACCGTATGTGCAACAGGAACGGGGGCCGGCGTCCAAGTGGGCTCAAAACTTGTACCAGCACTGCAAGATTCTGCTCGCTCCGAGGCTGTCATCCTGTCGGATTTTACATGGTCGAAAGGGTCATCGCCAGTCCACCAGTTGCCAGAGGGTTCAAGGTCCAGGTCAATTAACCGAACAGTACCCGTCATTCTGGGATGAACGACACGGCGAACTGCTGCGCGTAACGGGTTGCTTGCGCATACCTAAGACCAGTCAGCGCTGGCATAATCCAAAGGGTATAAATAGTCATACCAGAAATCGCAGTTTTTCCGCCTCTACCGTCCATAAAACGTGCCAGCTCCTTTGTGATGTCAATGGGATGGAAACGGTACTTTCAAGCGCGTTCGGTTGCGGTAACGAATCTGGTCCGCGGGCTGAGTGCCTAGAATATGCGTGGTGAATTGCAGGATCTATATTGAGTTAGGCCGATTTAATGTTAAAAATTAGCAGAAAGGGGATCCACTCACATCAAATCCCCGGTCATCTCGATGTTTATGCTCGGGACAATCGTCTCGGTCAAACATACGGTCAAGCTCGAGGATTTGCGATATTTCGTTCCCTACCCAATGGGGATGGTCTATTTCGGTAAGCGCATGACATTGCAAATCATCTGACAAGAAGGGGACACTTACTGAAGTTTTGCAGCTTAACTTGCCACAGAACTTGTAGCCGTCGCACCGTATTCTTCCGGCTTCGGCTTTCTTCAACGAGGTGTCGTATGAACGGCAACGCACGGAAGAGTCCAATGTCTTCAAGTACAAACACGACGGTCCCGTACTGTTCCAGGTAAGGTGGGTGCCCGTAAGGACCCAGCACGCACACTGGAAAATGAATTGTGGAGTGCGCACGATCCGCAGCTTGTGCGATCCTACCAGTCACACCCTGCCCAGGTCGGGTCACTATGTGTAGCAGACGAGTTGGTGCTTCTGGAGGGTTTTGCACTGTAGCCACCGAAGCCACGTGAAATGCAGGAAGCTGCAAGCAGGATCTGACTCCCAAGCGTGGCATCCAGAGCTGCACATACCGCCCCGGTCGAGCCACCCACTCTACTGGAACCACAATATCAAGCCATAACAGCCGGTTGGAAGACCGCGCGAGGGCTTTTCGAGCGGTGATACGCCACGACCTATGGACCCACATGCTGTGCAGGCAAGTGACGGCACTCCAGGCACATCCAGCGCAAATACCACCCAGTAAAACCCAGCGGTAGGATGATGCTCGGTCGATCAAATGGTAGAAAAGGGCGCCGGTGGCGATCGAAGCTAGCACATAATGGACCTCGAGGCCGAGTTGCGGCCACCGTCGAAGAATTCCAGCAAGCGTCCAAGGCATGATTGAGATGAGACTGCATCCGGCCTGTTCCATATTAGCCACTACTAGTTACTACGGGAAATAGGAAGGCTGCCGTTCTCTGTGGCGCTTCACGTACCAGGAGTGGAAGGACGAGGGGAGCTCCAAACATGGTATTTCGAGCCATTGTGATCAAGATGGACCCATGAAGAAGGCAATGTAGCACGCAAATGCGGCCTAGCCACCGGTGGGCCCACTGAAACGTGCCCCGTTCGATACGGTAAATGTGGGCCGGAAGGCTGAAGCTGAACCCGGAGTAGAGGGGAACAAGGTGTGTGACCGCCAGGCATCCGGCTCGCCTGTGCACATCCGCCCAGCTTTGAGTATGAAAGGTGATTACAATGACGTTGGCAATCACCAGGGTTGCAAGTATGCCCCCTTGCGAGTATGACGGGATATCCAGCGACTGGAGCACGTCTGGTGTTGGCGCCTGGAAGAAGCGTCTCCAGGATACGGCGCTTTGTAACCTCAGTGGTAAATAGCTAAATCTGAGTCCAAGGCTATACGATATCCAGCATAAAAGAGCGAGGAGTCCGCAAAGACCGAATTTATCTTGGATAGGAGCCCTCGCAAGCCACTCGGCAAACTTTGAAACAGGGCGGGGCATGCTTTGAGGCGAGACAGAACTGAACATTAGCAGGTTTATATAAAGTTCTGTAGGTAACCCAAACCAGGGCGTCCCAGTGCTTCTGCAAGGGCGGTCGAAAGCACCTTACAATGTTGATGCGGTGATCATGCTGCTGGTGAAAAAGATGGGAAGGCCTCTTTGTACGACTCGGACTGAGATGACTGGTTGACGATTGAAATGATCATCATCGATCCCTCATCAAAGGATCACCGACAACATAAAAACGCTATCTATTGCATAAGATGAGGCTCGTCAAGTATAGGATCAACGTTGAACCACAAGTATACACTGATCAAATCGCTGTAATATTATGCGGTTCTTCATTATCCCATACTTCCAAAGTTGAGCCCAGTCAACGTCCAAAGAGGCTTTTTTAGATGTCGCATGCCCGCCTATTAATTGGGCAGTGATTGTCATTGTCAAGACGATCAAGGTGACCGTGGACAGCGACGGCGACCATGGAAACTGTTGTGACGTTCCGCCCTTGGGGCTTTCATACTGGACTTTCAATGGACCCAGTTCTGCCTATTGATGCAATCTGGATCGCACTTGTCCAAGACGCAAAACATCTTTTCCGAGGAAGGCGGTCGTGTCGTAGCGAACATGTCTCCGAGCTGTTTTACTGTATTGAATTGTTTCGATCTAATGTAGATTCGACAAGACCGCACCTATATCACAGCATTTGCGTTTTATAACTCCTTCTACGTACTAATATTGCAGATCCATTAATAAGGCTTGCTACATCTAATTGTGGCACTTGGTTCCTGGTCTGAAGTTCCTCCAATAGGATGCATGGTGAAGACCATTACAAGATATTTCTGGCTCTATTGTGAGTGTGACGGTCCAATCACAAAGTAAAGCTATCACAAGATTTGAAATACTCGTCTTATCATTCATTTGGCAGCGTATACTTCACAAATGGATGACAGCAGCAGTAGTACCATCCTCCAGCTTCCATGCAGGTCCTAACAGTGAGTGATGGGCTTGTGAGAAGAGGTTGCATGTATATGAGAAACTTCCAATAGCTCAGCAAGAATAGTCGCTTTCTCTCTGCTCGAAATTTCGAGTCTGAACATGAGCTTTGCCCTAGCAAGCCATGATTTACCGTTCATTCGTTCCAGCAGGGAGGAAAGTGAGTCATTGGTTAGACTGGCAGGGTCAAGCGCATCAATCGTAAAGTTTGCCGGGTCCAGGGTGGAATATATCCAGATAAACCCGTTGGAGTACTCAAAAGAAGCTGCGCTCGCGTTCCATTTTGAGACCAGCGTGTTGAATAATGGCCCGAAGATTGTAACTGGAAGGCCGACACAGACGTACGCTGCCTCTACACGACTGTCTTGAAGCACAGTCCTGAGTACCGATATAGCCTGTTCGGTGGATCTTGAATCAACAACGACCGAGTCAGATATCCAGAATTCGGTTGACCAGCGGTTGGAAGAAAAATCGCTTCTCTGCATCAAAGGACGTTGAAAGCGAGAGAAGCCTTTCCTGAGACGGCTTGTTTGTTTTTCTTTCTTTGAACCGAGAAGAATGATCTTCAAATTGGCTGAATGCGCTGTCTGCAGAATCCCAATCTGATAGTCATGCGGTTCCAGATTGCTGAGCTGGGCTTGAGGGAAGACATGAATGACGCCATTCTCTATGGATACGTATTCTCCCCGGCTATCAGCTTTGTTTGCTGAATGGGCTGGTGGAATTATGTTGGAAGAGAGAGTGACGTTAATACTCTGGCCACAGAGCTTTGACTGCTCCCACTTCCAAACGAGCTCTTCAGTCTTCGAATATATGAAAGGGACTTTGGTGACTGGGATTTCTGAGGAGTGATCAGCATGAGGACAATGCTTCCTGCTTTCTTCAGTATTTTCGCAAATGGCCATCGGAGTCATGCCATACCAACTTTTACGCCCCCAATGCGACAGAAGCGGAAGTTCCAGTACTTTTAGCATCAAGGGCGATATCAACGCGTTGCTGTAACAAAATCTTTTGACCAACCCACAAGTGTCAGTCTCTGACAATGTAGATGTACGAAAGCAGGTACGAAGTGGGCCTTGGGAATGAGATTGATGTATGAAAATATCTGAGGGCGTCTGCGTGAGACTCTGATGCTTAAGATAAAAGTTGCACTTCGCGGAGGACTAGGTGTACTTAAGTATTTCCCCGTTGCAGCCTTTCAGCAGTGCTTACGCTGAGCAGCGCTTCCATTGTGCAAAATATTTTCTTTCTTGGTGAGAGTAGAGAGGCGCACATGTTGATCGAACTGTTTGAGACTTTTGGCATCGTGGGAGGCGTTTTGTCACTCAACGTTGGATACAGCACAAGTTCTTTTTGGCTATAATTGTTCCGTGCAACGCGTGACAACAAGCTTACAAAGAGCAGAATTAAAGGTGTACATTGATGCATCCAATGGAAATACAGAGACTATTTTATTTGTGAGAAGGTTATACTAGGACAATGTGCAATGGACAAGATGCAGATGCCTAACAATGTATGTAGATGTTCTCTACTATGCCAACATGGCTAAATATCTGGGAAAACAACTCAAATGATGGCCTTCTTGCTAAACAGCGACATTGCTTAGCACGCACAACAGAGAGCCACTTTCCTGACAAATTGAATAATGAAAAGCTGCAATACCAAGTCCAAATCAAACCTCCAAATCCCTCCTTATCTGTGGTTTTTCCTGCTCCCAGGACTGCCATATCACTAAATATTGTACAACGGGACCGCCGTTTTGTTCGATAGTACGTTTGGTAACTATGCATAGCGGGACTTTCTGGCCATTCTGAAGATGTCAGCTTATATACCTATACCCAAAACGGTATCCCCAATTGACTTACAAAATTAGAAGAGTCATTGGAGGAATACTGGCTGTCATTGAAAGACGCAGAGGATCTGTTCGAATAGGCCGATTGTTCTCCATCGGATACCACGAATGCGCGGTCTTCACTTGTCTCCGAAATATCATCCTCTGAGATAAGATCATCTGAGTACTCGGAAATGGACTCTTGTGCTTCACAGTCACTGAGTTCGTTGTGCGAAGACATGGCTCCGACAAAATCAATGTCTTCTTTCGAGGCCGTCTCAGGTAGACAAATTGGGTGCGAGCAAAATATTGGGTAATATGGTGCATGTCGCGGGTCCAATCTGGTTCGACGCCCAGTTTTATAACCACGGGTCTATTCGATCTTCGCACTTATAACTATAGCCAGTGTTTCAACAGGCGAGCAAGGGCCAAAGAAATGTAGGGGTGCTTCACCCGGCTTATGGTACAAGACCAGTGGTCAGTTGATTCACCTGATGAACCCATGATCAACAGGGTTGCAGTAAGAGATTTTGCAACGTGTACCCGCGTTGACTCAACAATGACGAAATTCACCGAACTCAGCACCAAGGCAGGAATGGATGGGTTCGTCAGGACAGCCATATATAATATCTGACGCGAACACTGATTCCTGGGACCCAGCGGTTACTCTGAAATAAAATTCTCACATCGATCTCGCTTGGTTTCCTCTCATTTAAACCGGCTGGTCTTCTCGCAGGTGAAACACCTTCTAGCGCGATGTGTTCGATTGGGGTAGACATAGACTCGTCACCTACCCCGGTATCGCGGTGTTCGGTATGTCTTCACCCGGAGTCAGTGAAGTGGTTCTTACTTAACGACTTACAGCCTTCCGCTGGCCAACCGAGAACCCCCTCGGCCAATCTCACGCGATTCGCACCTGACCGCCGACACTGGGTACTCTACGAGACCGCCCAGGAGAACGACTTCTTATCCTGGTGGCTGGAGACCGAATATGGACAACAACTGACCAAAAATGGACAATACAATTTCAGATGGTCGACTGAGTCGCGTTCTTCGAAGGTGTGGAGGCACTTTGACCAGGTGGCAGAGGTCGGGTCTGGTCGACCCAAGGTCGTGTGTCGGTCTTGCCTGGCGCCGCTGAATCACCCTCATCACCCACATCACAAATCTCATGGGACCAGCACAATGGGCAAGCATCTGAAATCTACGTCTTGTCGCAGAAGCAAGGAGAAGGTGGCCGTTTCTGCTGTCACCTCAGGCCCAATCCAGGTGGCCCGTGCGGGATCGGTCCCCCCAAGGAGCAGATTCGACCAGGCGCAGCTGAAAGATCAGCTTCTGCGGACAATTACAACCGCAAACCTTTCATTTGGAGTGACAGAAGAACCCACATTCAAGGAATTGTTGAACCTGGTCTATGCCGGACCCCACGGTTTGGAGCTTCCCTCGTCAAAGCAACTCCGCCAGCATATGCACGATGTGGCAAGTAGCTATCAAGAGTCGCAATTGCAGGATCTGCCCGGGGACTCGAAAGTGTCAATCGCCTTGTGTTGCTGGAAAAGTTCATTGGGACAAGATTGTCTGGCTATGATAGCGTATTACTTTGATACAGAATGGAGGTACCGAGAGGCCCTGCTTGGGCTCGAGATGCTTTGCAGGAATGAGACAGGGACTGACCCGGGGGATCAAATATTGGCACTGATCAGGAAGAAAGGGCTCCTCCGTCGGATATTCAGCGTGATTATCGACTATAGGGTCGATGCTAACTTGGCGCTGTCACTACAAGAGAAACTTGTTTCTTCTGGCGGTATCAGCCATCTTCAGTGCTTTTTTGGCGTTCCTGGCACAGTGCAAGCCATACAGCTCTCTCTTCGGCATTTTTCTGAAAACATTACAAACTTACCAGAAAAGGTTCAAAATGTGCGAGCAATATCACACGTCAATGGTTGGACTGACCCCTCGAACGGCGACGAAATTATGATTGTCTTGGAAAAGGTACATCCCCTCCATCCATTGACGAGAAACATTTTGACTGTTGTGCCTTGTAGATTCGGTCATTTGCAAAGTACGTCAACGAGACCAACCAGAAGCGGAATGCATTCTTATCTCTCCAGTCCTCTTTGGTTCGACTGTTACCATTAGATGATGCAGAAGACGGCTGGAAATCGTTGTTTTTGATGCTGAAGCGAGCCAGCAGCTTGAGAAAATTTATTGACCAATATTGTTATGAAAGTGGGAATTTACAGCATAAATTAACAGATAATGACTGGCGGAAGGTCGATTACCTGGTGCAGCTGATAACACCATTCATTGAATTTACCACAGCTCTATTGGCATCGAAAGAGGCGACAGTCCACAACGTCTCTTTCGTGTTCAAGGCACTGATGAAGCATATCGACGAGTCAGCTGGGATATTAAGAAGAAAGTCAGCACCGTGGAAGCGGACCTTATTAAAGGCATTCCTGCGCCTACGGATGGAGCTTGCAGAAGTCTATGAAAACACATTCCAAAAGTTTGAGGTCATGTATGGCACTGGAACATTCGTTGCGCCCCAATACAAAGTGTCCGCATTTGATGACGCCACGTCATCACAGGGCTTGGGCTCTGCTGGGCGCTACATCGAACTTTTGAGAATCTTTCATCTACAATATTCACCCCAAATGCCCACGAGCCTGTCCTGTGCAAATGGACTATCTTGTTCCCCGCAGTTGTTAGGGCTTGAGCGGCTTCTACACCCACTAGCTGGTCCGTTCCATAGTTCGAGAGGTGAGCCAGATGAAGTTGATCAATATCTCCAAGAAGGTCTGTCTATACTGTCCAGTGCATGTTCTATTCGACACTGACCCACTGCAGGGGCTGTCAATATCTCGCCATGCTCGTACTGGAAAGATCGTCAACACGAGTGGCCAGTTCTCAGTCGATTGGCCCGAGATCTACTCTCTATTCCAGCTACAGGCGCTGGTACGGAACGTCTTTTCACCGTTATAGAATATGTCCATGCACGTGGGGGGTATTTGGATGACTCTGCTATGCAAGACTGGGTGATGTATGTGTATTCACAGGGATCAGAAAAAGGTCACATATTGGTCGACCGGTTGGATCATGATACGGCTGACGAAGAATGGGGGCACTTTGAAGTAGAGACGCATAGACCAAGCCCGATCAGCGATGATGAATGGGACTCAGTCCAGGAAGATATCTGCGAGCCCTCGGGGGATGACGAAAACAGCGAGGTAGACACAGTGATTCTGGAAGACTCACCTATGGATGCGGATGCAAGGGAAGAAAGCTCATTTCTGCTCCAGCCTGTCACATGGTTCATCAATAGTGTGCGAAGAAGGTTTTCAAACAGAATAACTGTGACATAGAGTTGGTAGTATGATTTGCCAGTATGATTCAAAAAAAATGCGCCGTTCCGCCTTTTCTGCAACATAGCACTCGCATTGCGAAGTAATTGCCGCTGGTTCGCATTGAGCCACGCCGAAGTCAAGGACATGAGTGGATACAGCATTTGCAGCTCGGTTCATATCATAATTCTCAACTTCAGCATGGTCAGTCTTACTGGAGTTGTGACAGACATGGTTGCAATGGGCAAGCGCCCTGCGCTTGGTAGATCTTGGTGATTACTCGCAACTCTTTCGGTACAATTTTCATCGCTTCATATCTTGCAAGTTCGAAAAGTGTAGATAGCACTTGTAGCATGTGTATGTGAATTGTATTATTGGTGGAGTCATGTGCGTAATGAAGTAGTAGTGCGTATCAGGCTGACAGGTCAATACCATCAGTACAGGATATCCACCAATAGCGCACGTTCAGACTCTATCCTACAAGCACCAGATTTTGGACCCTTAGCATCAGTGAAGACCGGGCCACGACACCACATCAATCTACTCTATTGTACTCTCATCGAGGAAAGATCTATGCTGCTTCCGGTACATGTATCTATTATGGCCCTGGTAGCTCGAGGGAGCTTTCCGTTCCTGCTGCTGCCACGTGGTTTTAAAGCCTCATGTGGTTCTCAAACGATGTTGGGTCGCTTTTTCATATCTGATAACGGGAATGTGTTCAAGTACATGTGTTGGATTCTTGAATGAAATATAAAGGTCGAAATTTCGATGGACACCAGCAATGCACGAAGAATTGGATCTATCACCCGAATTATTGTGAGGAAAATTCGACAATCTCACCTCAACCCCTCATATGACCAGCATAGCGCGCGCAAAAGGGGATGAACAAGTGCTTATAAATGGCTTGAATGCATAAATTAGCATACCCAAATACTGCGCACCGCAGCCGACACCAGCGCATGTTCTGTCCAGTTATCATCTGGATTATAAACAAACGATGACCCTCAGTAAATGATCCGACGCTGAAATGGAATCTAATCTACCTTCCAACCCCGAAATCAACAAACATCAGATGCAACAATTCTTCGCACGCAATTGTAGCCAGTGAAAAAGCACATACCATCACATTTGAAAGTTGTACACCTTTGGGGCCTGCTATATCAAGAGAAGCACGATGCTCAGACTTGGAGTGCAATTTTTATTTTATTAGCAAGCAACCAATCGTTCGGTTCTCGCAAAAGTATAGATCGTTATACTCTGAAACACCCGTAAGGAACATGACAATTCCTCCTCGATCTATGACCATCATAGAGGATGAATTCCGACGCTTGAAATGCATTCGAGAGATTGACCTAGATGATCATGTTTTGGCATTTCTCCAGGAAGCCCAGTCAACACTCGCATACAAAGGACTGCACAACCCGCGAGGACCTTTTAAACGGTCCCTGATCCATTACGCGGCAATGGGTAACTGCACCGAGCTGCTCCTTTATCTTCTACAAGATGGCACCGCGAAAGACGACATCGACCAGAACAAACGTACGCCTCTCTCCTGGGCTGTAGAATATGGAGCATGGGATGCTATGAAGATCTTGCTCGAAAACGGAGCGGACATCAATTCCATGGATGATATGTACACAACACCCTTGACATGGCTGATACGTGCGGGTCAGGGCCCTAACCGATCAGCCATGATAAATTATCTGACGAAGCATGGTGCCACGAAGAAGGGAGCTACACGAGCTTTGATCAAGAGAAAGACTACGAGAATGTTTTCCTAGACACTGTTGTATTACCTTTCTTGGTTGTGAGGAGGCTGTTTGATCTGTGACCTGGCTGAAGGGATCTCCCGACTCCTTGTATTGTTCACAGTGCTCAAATTGTCTGTTTTAGAAGA